GCAAGCGAGGCTGAAGAAATTGACTCTTTCTCATCCAGGACTTCCGAGTCGCCACATCTCTGAGGTTAAAAACAAACAGAACAGTACATGAGTACAGTTACAACAGGAGACGACCCGCCAGCTCGGATAAACGTCCGAACTCTTAGACAATCGAGTAACTGGGATTTCAGCACCCTCTGAAGAACACAGGCCACAGAGAGTGTCATTTCTCATAGAGAACCTCTCCACAACAGTTCAGCTGATCCAAAGAACTCACCGAGGAACGTGATCTGTGTAAATCTGTAATCCCTGCTCTGCAGTGTACAGTAACTCTGCCCTATTAATAGAGCCCCCAATGATTCTACAAGACAGTGCAGTTTAAATATTCCTTACTCCTATGCACAACTGCTGGAAACAGCCTAAGTCTACTGCTTTTTCCTGGGCTCTCTGGCACACGGTTACGACTCTGGTTACTTTGTGTTGTGCTTCTGTCAGGAAGATGCATATAGAATGTGTGGTAGGAGCTGTCAACTGAAGAAGCAAACAATTCTTCCAAAAACATTCTTTTGCTTATTTATCATACTTCAACAAAATTGTTTCCTGGGGCCTCCTGGACTCTCCGTGGCTCAGGAAACATCTAGAAAAATTATTTTCACTACTACAGGATTTACTAATCAGGAGGCTGTTTAGAATCACCATTTCTATTCTCTTTGATAGTTCTTTGACTTGTCATCCCATTGTGATCCGTTAGCCTTTAGCTGGATTATTAAGACTATTAAATTAAAATACTAGTTATTCAATCTACCCTGTATTTTCAAAGGTCAAACGTTAGTGACTCCAATAACAATAGAAATCAATTATCTTAGCCATCTCTAAGAAATGCATGTTCAGATATAGGTTTGGGTTACTTTGACTTTGAAACTGCTGAGCAAGCTCTATGTGAACCTCTTCAGAATGCTACACGTGTGCGTATAGATGGCTGCATTATAAATGCATTATAATGCTACACATGTGCATATATATGGATGCATTATAAATGCATTACAATGTTATACATGTGCATACGGATAGATGCATTATAAAACACAGAAGAGTAAACTGAAAATAAGAAGAAACAACCTAGAAGGAGTCACAGGTAAGTGAGAAATGAGTCTTAAGTTGGTGAGGTCTAAACAGTCACCACAGTTAGCATAGGACAGTCTCTTTATGATGTATGGAAGACAGCAGTTGGCTCTTCCTATTTACACCTGAACAGCATCTTCAAGTCCCAATTTCAACAATGCGATCTTTTGTTTTTGATGGCCACAGCTCTGCCAACAGGAGAGAAGACATCTTGAAAGTGTTCTTCCTGTGTTCACAGGAAGTTACTAGCAGCCCTATGGAGAGCCAGGTCATCTATTCACACCACAACTTGAGAAGCCCGAGGCAGAGCCCTGCCCAGGATGGACACGGTCACTGTTGCCAAGCTCGCGTTCTGACAGGGACATCATCGGCTTTCACTGGTGCTGCCGTGAGGAAAACAAAGCACAACAGTGATGTGGATATGATCACAGGGTGATGGCAGACCTCCCGTCACCTAGGAGATGTCATGTTACCTAAAGATGTCCCACAGGAAGACACTTAATGAAACACCAGAGCTCTGCAGAGAGACAGTGGACGAGAAAATGTTCAGGAGCAGAATTTGCTACCCAGAAGGGACAGCCAGAGCAAAGGCCTGGAAACAAAAGTAAGCTGTACGTGGTGAGAGGACAGACAACCAAGATCAGGGTGAGAATTGCAGCCCCCAGGACAACAGGCAGCAGATGTTATAGGAAAAGGTGGGTAGGGCAAGCAACAGGAAGCTCTGTGGGTCTTAGAAACTCTGCCCACCTTAGGAAGGGAGAACCATGATCAGACCCATTTACACTTCTAGAAGCGCACTCTGGGGTCTGGGAGAGGAAAGGGGAGAGCAAAGTGAAGCATGGGAGGCCAAAGTCATCAGGGTGCGGCAGCTCACACACATTCCCTGTGGTCACTGGGCTAATATTACTTTAAAAATGTTCACTTAACCCGGCTGTGGGGGCACACACCTTTAATACCAGCACTGGGGAGGCAAAGGAGGGTGGAACTCTGACGTCGAGGCCAGCTTGGTCTACAGAGAGAGTCCAAGGACAGCCAGAGATACACAGAAAAACTCTGTTAAAAAAAAAAGAAAGAAAGAAAGAAAGAAAAAACAAAGAAAGAAAGAAAAGTAAGAAAGAAAAGAAAAAGGGAGGAGGGGAAGGGGGGAGGGAAGAAGGATTCATAAAATATGAACCTCGGTGTCACAAAACTGGGTTTCTTTGTTCTTTTCAGATGTTAAAATTTAACTTTAATAGACACAGTTCTTAATTATTCTCGAACTCAAATTATTCAGTGTCTACTTAGATCCTACTACGAGTCTTGAGAAGATGACATATCCCTCCCACTCCTTTCTCAAGACAAAGAAAGTTAACATAATACAGATAAGAGCTAAGATATCCCTCCTTGGAGCAATATTTTAAGCTACATCATACATAAGTAGAGAGAACTGGACCTACCTCTGCCTCAATCTCTGCTTGCCTTTTCTCCAAGAGTTTCGCCACGGCCATGGCTCTGTGCTTGCCAGATCGTTTGCAGCTCACGGCCCATTCACATAACAATGTTACCACCGCTTCGTCATTGGGGGCAACCTAATGACCAAGAGAAATGTATCAACCGAATCACAATGATGCAAGCGAAGGCCTACCCACACCTTGAAGCTTTGTTCCCAAGTTTTACTAGCAGATACTTTCAAATCATTTTAACTTAAATAGGAGAGGAAAACCTCACTTAGTAAGAAAGAAATCACTTAAAATTCACCTCGGTGTGTAACAACTCCAAGAAAGCCAGAGTTTCCTTAAAGAGGCCTTGACGCTGTAGTATTGACTTTCACATCCACAAAAGGAAATGACCACTGGACTCTGGGAGCAGCTGTTAAAAAGCCCACATACCCAACTCCACGGTTAGGTGGTCAGCATGTGGACTAATCGGTTTGTCATGTAATCCCATCAGACTTCAAGATTAGTGAGAAATTAGGAGAAACAAACCATGTGTGGCCCACCGCACTATAAACCACAACCATGAAGAGGGGAAGCCAAGCATCAAAAGAATGAAAACCTGCAAACAGACCTGGTCAGCAAAGCGCCCTGGCTACATGCCGAGCGGTGTCAGTCCAGGGACAGACTCCAGCGGCTGAGGAGGAGAGGGTTTCAGGGACCCAAGGGACATGAAACATAGATGGTGGGGTTGAGGGGTGACAGAAGAGAAAGCGGGCCTCTGTGCCATGCCTTTGCTTGACGGCATCCATGCCAGGACAGCAACCTTCTGGCCACAAGACTGCAGTATTTGTCACGAGCATACACATTATGATAGGAAAAGTAGAGGACCACAGTGTTAGCACTGAAGCACAGCACGGGACACTCCCCACACTTTAGAACTCATGACCTCAAGTACGGTTATGATACAGTTATGAGAGCAACCCCAGGAGGCACAATCACTCACATATACCAAGGCTTATGGACCCTGACATGGATGAGGAGTCCAGAATAAAAATGGATGGGGAGCTGTCGATACTAGCAATCCATCCAAATCCTAAACCTCTTATTTCCCTTTCCTAGCAGTATCAATTACAAATACTTCTTGGCTAGAGGGAGGACTTTGGGTCCACTTCCCTGTTCAGAGCTGGGGTTCTGTCCGGCTCGAACCTGTACAAGTTTGGTGCCTGTTGTCACTGTCTGTGAGTTCCGACGTACACCCACTACACCTGGAAGACACTGTTTCCCCAAAACCCTTCACCACCTCCGGCTCTTACAATCTGTCTTTTCTTCCACATAGGTCCCTAAGACTTAAGATGAGAAGACATTCCATTTAGGGCTGACTGTTCAAAGTCTCTCACTCTCCACACATTGTGCAGATGTGGGGTCTCTGTTATTACTCAGCTCCCACAGGGAGTTTCTCTGATTTGGATTGAGCAATGCACGCTTCTAGGGGTACAGCAATATGTCATTGGGAGTCATTTTATTGCTTTGTTCATTTAGCAAAATAACACAGTATGTTTTCTCCTGGGACTGTAACCTTTCTAGTCTCAGATCCCAGGTCACTCAGTGTCGGGCAGCCATACTCCAGGGAAAGCCCCATGTCCAGGCGTAGCCGGCTAACACAAAATAAACTCCATGTTTTGAGGAGTTATTTGTTGTTTTTGTTGGTGGTGGTGGCGGTGGTGATGGTGGTTTGGGGGTTTTGGGGTTTTTTTTTGGATGGGGATCTTTTTAGGGTTTGTTTTTTTTTTCTTACTGGTTTTGTGTTGGCTTTGATTTTCATTTCTTGGGGGTCTAGATTTTGGATTTGGTAGGTCTTTGTTCGTTTGTTTTGAGAGAGAGCACACAGGCACACCTGAAGTTGGTTAGGTAGGGAGAGGAAAAGGATCTGAGAAGAGTTGGGAGAGGAGAAAACAAGATGAAAATATACTGTATGGATGCATTTTTAAAACTTAAAAAAATGCTCTAAGACTTTTCTCCAATAGTTTTAAAATTTCTCTACATATGTGCTGTTATTATTTTGGCAGACACCTTACAGGGAGCTCTAAGTCTCTTAATTTAAAACAAAGGATGGGCTGGAGAAATGGCTAGTGATCAAGAGTACTTCTTCTTGCAGAGATCCTGGATTCAATTTCCAGCATCCCCATGAGAGTTCACAACCATCCATAATTACAGTTCCATGGGATATGGCCCCCTCCCCAATCAATATGGGAATCTGTGTCCATGTGGGCATAGACTATATGCTGGCAATACATCCATACACATAAGATAAAAATTTTAAAAAATAAGCCAAGGGAAATAGTTGAGATAAATTTTGATTATGGCATTTAAATTTTAGAAGACAACTGTGAAGATTTTTCTGGGTGAAATCAATAAAATGCAAATGCAGGGGCATGAGGTCAAGCCAATTCAAGAAGCAACAAGTCTGAGTTCAAATTATGAAAGAATTTAAACAGTTGCACTAATAGAAAACTGACAGCAGCATTTTAATCCAATCAGTAAGGAGCATTAATGAGCATTACTTCCACATTTTTAGTTATCTCCTTTGCTTCTTCAAGATCAGATAAACACCTATTGTTATAAAGGACAAGTACTTTACTGCTGCAGCCTCAGGCCTGACAATTCGATTTCCTTTATCTGTTATCCTCGCTATATATGATTTTACAGCTAACAGAAATATGCTACAATACATAGGGTACCCTGTGTGTGTTCAGCAACATCTCAACAAGGTGAGAAACACTCAGTTCTACTGAAAGAACAACAGGGGAGTCACAAAACTACATTCCCTACTCTGCACACAGTGGCTTTACCATCACCCACTTGGGCATACATCCATGAACAAAGACTCAGTGCAAGTGTGAAGAATGCTTTCCATGTGCTCCCATGTCGGAATCCTTAGTCACCAGTTGACAGAACTGTTTGGGAAGGATTAAGGGTGTGGCCTTATTGTAGGAGGCATGTCACATGCCTCCATGTGATATGGAGGTGGGTCTGAGGTTCCATAAGCCTATGCCTTTCCTAGTTAGTGTGTTATGGTTGTGTCTCACAATGTAAGCTCTCAGCAACTGCTCCAATACCAAGTTTATCTACCTGCTGCCATACTCTTCACTGTAACTATCATGGACCCTCCACCTCAAACTATGGGACCTGGTACAGGAGAATTGTCTGTATTCTGTCAATCATGTTTTTAAATAAATGCTGATTGGCCGGGCAGGAGGTATAGGTGGGAAAACCAGACAGGAAGTGGAAATGATGCAAGGAGAGCAGGAGAATTCTGGGCAGGAGTGGGAAGAATCAACTTGTAATGCTGAATTCTGTAACATGAAGGGGCCTGCTTTTTGGGGCTCCCTCTCCTGCCCAGATCACCGAAGCAGCAGGATGTGAGCTGCCCCACTGAAAAAGGTACTGAGCCACATGGCCAAAATCGATCAGAAAAATGGGTTAATCAAGATGTGAGAGTTAGCCAGTAAGAGGCTAGACCTAATGGGTGAATCAGCTTTATAACTTACAGAGATCTCTGAGTGATTTTCTTGGGGCTTGCCGGCTGTGGGGAACTGGGCAGGATAGAAAACCCCAACAAGCAGGCCCCTTCATGTTACAGAATTCAGCATTATAACTTACTGAGTCCTCTGTGGTTGATTTTCTCTGGGACTAAACAGCTGTGGGGTACTGGGAGGCACAGAAACACAAACAAGCAGGCCCGGCCTTTTCATGTTACAGGGACCCAGTAAATAAACCTTTCTGAAAGTTGTCTTGATTGTGATGTCTTATGACATCAATAGAGAAGCAAGCAGCTAAGCCAGCAGACAAACCCGGTAAACAATGTACACAAATAACATACAGAAGATTTGGAAGACAGGGAGAAGACAAGCCTGGTCCCAGTGCCTACAGTGCCTCCATGCAAGAGGGTTGGAAGCTATGAAAGGTAGGAAGACATCCTCTACCAGTGAGAAGACAATGTTAGTAAAAAGCTGATCCCAGAGGAGAGAGGCGCTCTATAAGGCCATTCAGTGAGGGAACAGGCCTGGAAAGGTTCAGTGCAGGACAAAACTAAGACATTTACATCTTGATAGTCTCAATGCTCACAGGGTTTTAATCTAGACGGAAGAACTACAGTTTCATTTGATACTTTTACAGTACAAAAGAAAAGTATTATTTTAAAAGAGAATGGACCTGGGCCATGAAGGAAAATTACAGGCTTTCTGATAAACAATAATAAATGTAACAGACAGGAAAGCCCTATTCAAATACAACAAAAATCAAATACCCTACTACAAACTTTGAGTGTAACCCCTACTCTCATGACTACTGTGTATCGGACATTGTGTTCTGCCCTAATTAGGTGTGACCTCATTTCACACAGAAGCCTGAATATAGCTACTGTTCAAGATATGGTGAGAAATAAAGACCGGCATCCTTTGTCTATCCCAGAACAAACCCCCACACACACTATCAAACTCTAAATCACCCATGACTGGCCACAAGGTAACCCCATCTCTACTTGCTCTTTACAAGCAGCTGGTATCAACTGAAGCACATTCCAGATCCTGATTTGTTAAAATCCAAGTTCATTCATTCTGTATAACTTTAAAAAGCAACAACAACAACTATGTCACTATTCAGGTCAGAAAGCTGGGTTTCATCTTTCTCCAAAACCCACACCCCAACTATAAATGCCTTGGACACCCTCTACTGTTGCACCCGATTATCCCTGTAGTTCCCCAGAGCTCCAGAGAACTGACTTCAACTCCATAATGAGGCTCAGGGATCCTTGCTGACCAGAGAAATTCTAAGAATGCATGTAGGTCGTCCTACAACCAGATTTCTAAAAGCCTGCTGTTATAGGGATGCCCCTCTGTATACTGTGAATATGTTTTATTACCATTGATTAATAAAGAAGCTGCTTTGGTCTATGGCAGGGCAAAATATAGCTAGGCTGGAAACTAAACAGATACAGGGAGAAAGAAGGCAGAGTCGAGGGAGACATAAGTAGCTGCCGGAGAACCAGGATATGAAGTAACAATTCATGAGCCTCGTGGTAAAATAAAAACTAATAGAAATGGTTCATTTAAATTGTAAGATCTAATTAATAATAAGTCTGAGCTAACAGACCA